GCTCGACCTCCGTGAATTTAAGAAAGCCAACCAATGTCAGACGGACATTAATATCGTCAATGCCAGACAGTTAGACGGTAATATTGCAACATTAGCTTCAATCAGTATGCAAACGCGTTTCTCTCTTTCTCTCTTTTTCTCTTCGGATTCACGCTTTCTCCAATTTACGCGCCACGTATACAAATAGATGTGCGTAACAAAATAAGCAGTAAGTGTGCACAATTAAAGAAATGCTTACGCTGATGCAAGAATAAGCTCCGTTATATTTGGAATTAGAAATTTTTATTTCACTCTGCACATTATTGTTAATTGTCCCTAATTATTGTAAATACGGAACAAAAGTAATGCGATGGAGAATTCTCAAAGTTTCTCACCTTGAGAAAAAACGATGTATAAAACAATGTTATCTTTTTGGTAAGATCACTTTCTTTTTTTTTTAGCCTTCAATGTCGTCGAGTTCGACGCATTTCCTGGTTGAACTTTTTCTTTCAAGTACCTACTTGAAATTTCCGCAATAACGACGGTGAATTGCTGTCAAATTATTTTAACGGGTGCGTATGTATGAAACTGTCAAATCAAGATATAATTAAAGCAAATGTCATGTAGCAATTTGCGAATTCCTTAGCCATATTCGGATGGTTAATATTTAGTGTTGAAAACAGCCGATCGAAATTTTGTAATGAAACATTTTGTGTTAATATGATGAATAAACTAGCTACAACATTTCTCGCAAAACCCTATAAAGTCAATTGCTTGCAATTGCTAAATAACTTAATTACACTTCACGCGTCGAATAACCCGTTCTTGTATTTTCAAATTTTCAAAATAAAAAGTGCCATTATTTTCTCAGTTGCAAAATATCACATAGTTTCACATAAAGTTAATGTTCGTGAGCGTGATAAAATTTCGAGAAATAAGAGAATTATGTGAATCAAACACTTTCGGATCATTTATTATATAATACATAACTTTTATTAAATAACACATATCACTAAATTCTTTCCTTTTCTTAAGATATTATCAATTGTTTTTTTTTTTACTGGGGAGAAAGAGGGGGATACAACACACTTTATCTAGATTGATAAGTAATTAAAAATGTAAGATATAAATAAAAATTAAGATTCTTAAAAAATTTACTAAAAATGTAAGAAAATGACATATTCTCAAAATATATTTTTATAATATGAAATATATAGCATTATAAATTTTCGACAGAAAAAATTAATTCTGTGTTGAATTGAGTTAAGTTAATTATTTGCGGTTGCTTCTTCTTTAGAACTACTTTATTACGACAAGATTTTAACCGCAAAGCGCAACTTTTATGCACGTGTGCGAATGGAATATAAAATAGCGCCACTAAGATTCCAAAGTTCAATCAAGATCGAGTTGCATTGACTATTTATGTTTTGTAGCACTGGAACGTGTCGATCGTGAACTTGACTTGAAAATCTTGCAACAGAACTGATTCAAAAGTCATTGTTATTCTAATCCGACTGTGAGCCCGCGCGTGTATCAGTCGTAAATGACCAAACATTGACAATAGTAAATGTCAATGATCGATAAGAAAAGTGTTTCTTTAAAGGAGATATAAAGTTCGAATCTGTTGATTTTTTAAAATTATTTCTTTCTTAAATTTTTTTTATAAATCCAAAGAGAGTCATAATTAATCTTCGTATATACTTTTTCGATAAAATTTTCACAAATGTTTATGAAGTGGAACATTTTTTAATTATGTAGAAAATATATATGTAGAAAATATATATTTAAAATTATAATTACTTACAATGCAGACTAATAAATAATCACAGGAACAGTTTCTATACTTATCCATAATTTTCAAAAAAATTTATTGCACTTTCTATTTTTGCAATATTATTAATTATTTTTGTATATTCCTGTATAATAATAATTATAAAATATTTTTATCTTAAGAGATTATTTTTTTTAATTGCTCCATCTTTAATATTTTATATCTCATCGTTATAGGCGTAATTATAATCATTTGATGTATAATATCTAATATTATACATCTAACACGTGTATTGCGCATTTAATATTATTTCTAACATATTCGTAACATAGTATCATCTCATCGCCATCATCATCTTTATATAGATATATCTAATCAATCTGGAATGCGAATACGGAAATTTTCTCGGGTCTTTTCACATAAATCTTTTGCTTACTTAAACCTGCATTACATACACCTCAAGTAATACAAGTATGACTTCATAGTCATTAATAGTAATTACATAATTCTTATGTTGCTTACCATAATTATCCTGTTCTGTAAACGCGTTGATTTAGTTTTACGATTGGCATATATAATTAACAGACACACGCAATCCTTACACTTCTGGCGAAGTAAGCAGAGTAAAAGACAAATAAGAATTAATGTAACAGAAAGTAGAGTGTTTCTTATAGTCACGCTTCTTAAGTAGCAACGAGCATAACTAAAACATTAATAAAAATGCTGCCTTATGTTGCTTACTATAATTATCCTGTTCTGTAAACGCGTTGATTTAGTTTTACGATTGGCATATATAATTAACAGACACACGCAATCTTTACACTTCTGGCGAAGTAAGCATATTAAAAGACAAATAAGAATTAATGTAACAGAAAGTAGAGTGTTTCTTATAGTCACGCTTCTTAAGTAGCAACGAGCATAACAAAAATATTAATAAAAATGCTGCCTTATGCGCGTTGTTAAATGTTTAAGAAAAAAATCAACATATGGAATCAGGATATCGATTGATTTATGTTCTTGATCTTTACTTGATGTCCTTTAAAATCGATATCCTCGATAGCATTGATAATTTTATTGATTGAAATGAATTATAATAGCCTTGTATGTGAAACCCCAGTGCAATTATGAATACAAAAATGAAAAATCTAACTTGCGTTTGTATAAACTTGAAATTTCAATTATATCGTAATAGGATATTTATAAACATTTTTTTCAATGTTGAAAAATATCGATTAATAGAGCATTCACAAAATTACTCTATTAATATTGTCCGATAAAAAAAATGAATGATTTTGAAAAACCTGAAAGATCGAGTTATATAAAGAGATTATCTAAAATAAAATTATTTGGATTTTCAAAAAAGAGTTGTCAAAGAAATAAAAACAATGCAATAAATTCAAAGACATTAATTTTTAAATTAATATGCCTTTAAATTTATTAATTGCTCTTATTTCTATAACTCTTTTTTAGAGTTCACATTATTTTTTTCGGATAATCTCTTTATACCATTCAATAGGTCTTTCAAAATTAATCGAATGTTTTTTATCGGGCAATATTAATATAGAATAATTTTGTGAGTGCTCTCTATTAATTGATATTTTTAATCTTAAAAAATCTTAAAAAATTATTTGGATTCTAAAAAAGTTATAGAAATAAAATCAATGCAATTAATAAATTCAAAGACATATTGAGACAGATTTTAAAATTAAATTAATAATATTTCTTATTACTTATTATTATTTTTTCTTTTCAAGTTCTTTGTAGCTTCAAAATTTAAAAATAAAAACCTAAGTCAAACCTTTTTGTTGCGAACTAAAACTGGGGCGGAAAATCTTATAAAATTCTTCGATTAAATTCCAAAAAACCGTGACGAAAGACGATGACGTCAACTGCAGCCTTAAGTGCGTAGCCGCAAGTGACATAACGAATCCGCGGTCAAACCGCGATCCATGTAATACAGTTTTGTAAAGTCCTTCGTCATACGCTCTGACGTGATTAGATAATATCTTTTACTTCCCGAATAGAAAGTGCATACTTGGTCGGAGGCAAGTCTTTTTCGACGTAAGACTCGCCATCATGACGCCTCCCCGATGACGACGATCTGAGACGCCATCCTTTGGGTTAAATCATTGTTTACGGTACGATAAATGAGGGGATACCACCTCGCTCTCACAAAAAACACGCTTGCGTGCTCTTGTCAAACGCATACGTATGAAAGAGTTACGCAATTTGGTTATTTAATCAGGTAGAAATCATCATGTATTGACATTTAAGCGAAGTTTATTAATTTTATGTTAGATAATAGCCAACATTGTTAGTTAATCTGTGAACTGATTTATACCAGATGAAGGCAAATGGATTATGATAAAATTATACAATCAATTACGAATCAACGTTTTGCTTCAATTAGATAGAAAAATATGTGTAGAGTTTCTATAAATTTATTTATAAACAGAGTTAAGTTGTGTTGAAATTGGCAAAAACTAGATAATATTAGACAAAAATAAGAAAATTAATATGTAATTATGATTTAATTATGGGAAGTATATAAAAATTTCTGAGACTGATTCCATATGATTCATAAAAATCAATCATTTCAATCTCACGCAATCATAGAAAATAAGAAAATATACTTTTTAAGCATATTTTTTTCTGATTATGAGACTAATGTAAATTAGTCAATAGAACGTGAAATTTTCAGCGTTGAATAAAATAGAATATCGATAAATAGCTTCGAATCTAAGATTTTCAACGCATCGTCCCTCAGACTCTCAGGCTCGATACTCGTTTTCACTCTCACGAGTCGCCGACCTACTTTGAATAAAAGTACTTTCGCCGCACTCACCTGACTGACCACTTCCGGCTCGATCGTCACAGCTCCTCGATGAAAGTGTTCTCCAGCGATCGCTTTCGTCACTTACAAGGTGTTCTAGAACTCATGACCTTACTTCTCGCGCCGACGGCTACTTCGGCCATCAAGCGGTTGATTTCTCCTTCCTGAAACATGTTTTGTGTTTCACACACAACTGAATCAAAAATTAAAGCAACATAAATAGCACAATAATAAAATGAAAAAATGGTTACTATATTTTTCTTTCCTGCGATGTAAAAAAAATATCTAGTAATAAATTTTTTAATTATATTTTTTATATCTTTACGAATCATCTATTTACAAATAAATTCGAAATGTATGTATGAATAAATGTAGAAAAGTACGAAGAAAATAATTATTGGCCTTTCGTTTCATCAGTGGACGACGCGTCGGGCAGATTCACCAATGGATTCTTTTGGGGTAACTCGTTCTTTCTCGGATCAGCCACCGAATGCAATTACATCGGTCAAGATTACGGAAAAAATTCTAAAATTGGCACGGAGTCATCAATCGAGGACGTACGAGAATTTAATGCTAAGCCACGAAAACTCATCAACGCGGGTCCCACCGGAAGCAACATGTGGACTCCAACAAATGTCGCAGACATACCACCTTATCGTCTAGGATTTTACATGTTGAGGCTATCTGTAAACGCGTCTCGATATACTACAGTAAGTAGCATCGATATCGTGCAATTTATTAAAATATTATTCGACATTTTTTTATTTTAACTTGTTTTCCTATTTTATGAAAATAAAAAAAATTTATATTACTTAAATACACTTATTTCTACAAAATATTTTATACGAAGAAACATGTCATTCAAGATTAAATGATAAATATATAATATATTAATAATAATATTAAAAATCATTAAATATATAATAAATTGTATACATTATGAAAAAGAATAGTTATGAAAGAAAATATATTTGCTTTAAAAAATAAAGACACAAAACTTAATGAAAACAAAAACTAATAAAAAAAAGACCAGTGCCATTAATGTTTTTAATCAAAATTGAGAGCATAATGCATAATTTTACAAAAAATAGAGTAAAACATCTTTTTCAATAAATTTTTTTCTAAACTAGTATTTCACTTTTTCCATTGCATTACCTATTTTTCCATATTACATATTTTACGTAAAGCTTAACATAAAGGAAATCTATTATTATTTCTCAAACAATGTTGATTCACATGGGTGTTTGTCTGTCACCAATGTTTACGCTTTCAGTACATTAATTACGCCATTTTCAAATGCAACTATATTAAAGTCAAAATCTTAATGTATAATTTAATGAAGAAATAGAGTGAAATCTTTTCCAGTCAATTCTTTTCCCAAACTAATGCTCATTTTTTCCCATTGTATACTATTTTACGTGAAGCTTAATATAAAAGAAAAATCTATTCTTATTTGTGAGACAATATTGATTCACCTGAGTGTTTATCTGCCACCAATATTTACGCTTTAAGTACATCATTAATTGTGCCATTTTCGAATGCAAATGTACTGAAGTCAAGCTCTTAATGTACAGTTTTACGAAAAAATAGAGTGATGTATCTTTTTCAATCAATTTTTTGCTAAACTAATGCTCTTATTTTTTCCAATTGTATACTGTCTTAAATAAAACTTACTATAAGAAAAATCTTATTATTTTTCAGACAAGATTGATTCACCTAGGTGTTTGTTTGCCGTTCTCATGCACCGCCTCCGACGTCGCCGTGATCGGAAAACTTGCCGCGGGCGAATTTGCGGTGAAACACTCGTTAATCGAAAAAGTTAGAGATCAGCACAATTTATACGACATGTACACAGATCCGATCTTCTGGGTATTATCGTAAGTTTGCGAAAAAAAGATACCTGACTAAAGTTAAACTGCAGAACTGGACAAATTGTATTTTGCCAAAAATGAGATAAATATATTACATAATATAATACAAAATAATATTAAAATATTTATTATTTTATAATATTTATTATATTATATTATTTATTTATTCGAAGTAAAATTTTGAAAATTAAAGCCTCTTTACGAATGAGCAATTAAACGCGCGTGAACAACAGATATATTTGATATGTTTTAGCGGAGTCAGCGCAGTTGTTGCGATACTGATGATTCTTGGTACTGGATACGATTATTATCTATTGAAAACAGTAAAGTGCAAGAAAAATGTAATTTACGATTTGGAGAAGCACGGAAAACTTGATCATCTCACCAATGGCAATGGGAAAGTGCTAAACGGTAAAGAACTCAACGTCCACATTTAAGAGTTTTGTGTTTTCATCTCTGTCTATACACATCCCTCTTATTTTTGCAAGATAGCAATCAATACATTAAGATAATGGCGATTATTTTCTGCTCTTTACATGTCGCAGATTCCTCGCACGAATTCTCTCAATTCTGGCATAGATTTTGTCCAAATCGACGTTTGCCTATTAAAAATATGAATGATAAATATGAATATATTTTATCTCAATTTCTCAACATTTGAATGAAATCTCTTTACTTAAAAATCTCAGATTATAAATATTAAAGTTAAAACAGCGAATTAAAACTGAATAAAGAATATGATTATCTATTTGCTTTCTTAATTCGTGTGACAATCTCACAATTTTAAATGCATGACTTTTATATTAATTATCTATTAATATCATAAATTAGTATTTTTATTAAAGAGAAAAAATTTATTCCAATTTCCAAGATGACTTAGTAGTTAGAAGAAGATGCGAAGAATCTGAGACGCCTTGTATAGGAAACTATAAAAAAGCTAAGAGAGACTTACGAAAATAATAACTAAATGACAAAAAGCAAGGCAAAGTTTCAGTATAATAGCATAATAACTGCTTTGCGAAGAAAAACGCTATTTTAGCTCGCTACACTAACTCATCTCGGGATGCTGTAATCACGTAAAATGCAATTGTCTTGGAGGTACATCTCTCTCGCGAGAGATAAAGTACCAGCTAATAAGCACCACGACTATCACTCACAGACTATCAAGACAAGACAAGGACAGTACCAAAAGTAGTGACACTATTTATTATTATATTCCGTAGCTGTACAAGGTAAGGTCTACCTTCCTGTTCCAGTCGCAGACTCTAGCAGCAACGGCGTGCAGCCGATTAATAATAACAACGATCGTGAAAATGACTTGCAACCTTCGGCTACCACGGAAGGGCGACAGCTTAGTATGTTAAATTTTGTGTCTTATTCATATCGACCTAAAATCATTAAAAATATTATCCTAAAAAATTAACGAACATTAGAATAAATCGCAAAAATCTTCTGTAAATATTTTCAATATCATCAAAATCAGTAGTTAGAGATTTCTTTTTGTGGCTTTTCTCGTATTTTAACATACTTCAATTTACAACATGATTAAATTACAGAAAAAAATTATTTCTGCGTAAAAAATATAAAATATAAAGAGATCAATAATTAAAAGATCAGTCTCTGAGAAAATTAAAAGAATTCATTACTTTTATACAATTTTTATAAATAATTTTGTTTATAACTGGTGAAGCAGTAAACTTTCCTTGACGTTTTGCATCGCTTTTGCAGGTGTTCCGGAGGAACTCTTGCTTTCGTTTTCCGTTCACGCCAACCTGAAGGTAATCTGCGACCGTAATGTGGGTGGAGACACCATCAGCACCGTGCACGGGCTCAGAGCGATATCGATGGCCTGGGTAATCCTTGGACACACGTGCATCATTCTCTTCAAGTACTCGGACAACATGGAGTATCGCAGGGTGGTGGAGAAGAGATTCCTCTTTCAGACCATCACGAACGGAGTCTTCAGCGTCGACACCTTTTTCTTCATGGGCGGTGTGCTCGTGACCTTCCTGTACTTCCGAACCAACGCCAAGGGTGACCTGAAGAGGCTCACGCAGGGCACACGTGGCTTCGTCGCGGGCACCCTGAAGTTCATTGGTCTTGTTATGTACAGATTCAGCAGGCTCACCGCGCCGTACATGTTCGTTTTGGGTGTGGTCGAGATTTCGATGAAGTATTTCCATACAAACTCTGTCTTCGAGCCTCCTACGGCGGATCATTACAATTGTCCAAACTACTGGTGGAGAAATTTGCTTTATATTAACACCTTGTTTCCCGTTGAGCAAATGGTACGTCTTGTTTTACTGACACGTTGCAAAAGACTTCAAAGATTACAATTTAACAGGAATCGATTCCTGTATAAATTATCTAATTCTACAATACTTGGATTACTTCCGAAGATAATTAATGTTTTTAAGTGACATATATTTTTGTTTTTCATGATAAATTGAATGAATAATTTTTTAATGCTCTTCCTTTTAATTTTTCCTTCAATTATTAATCATCTATTATTTTTTAATTTAATTAAACTCTTTTAATTTGTATATTGATATTTTTTAATTTTTTTAAGTTTGTGAATATTATTCTTTCTCCCCTCTTTCGCTATCTCCATAGATGAAATTATATAAAATCATATTGTGATATTCCAGTGCATGCTTTGGAGTTGGTACGTAGCAGATGATACGCAGTTCTACATCATAGGTGGTGTCATCCTAGTATTGGCTACGAATCATTTCAAAACCGCAGCTTTCTTATTAGTTACTTTATTAGTGAGCTCGTGGGCAACTACCGGTTATATCGCTTTAGTTAATAATCACATGCCGACCATGGACGACCCGTTGGCCCTCTTCGACAAGATCTATGACAAGCCTTGGACGAGATTAGGTCCTTACCTGATCGGAATGTCCGTCGGCTACTTCCTCTTTAAGACTGATTGTAAAGTGAAAATGTCAAAGGTACGATCAGCCAATACAGAAAGTTTAAGAAATATAAAGAAAATGCTAATTTGAAACATCAAAAGGATCTTTCGGATGTCTCTTTGCAATACTTGTATGATATTAAAGCTTCTTTGATATACAAATAGAAAGTGGAAATAATTCTTGACGTCATTTTCTAGACCACCGTCGTCGTGGGATGGCTCCTGTCTTCCGCGTGTCTCTTGAGCTTGCTTTACGGTCTATATGAAGCGGAACTTGCACCCGTTACAGCCGCTGCGTATTCTTCATTAAGTCACAGTGCGTGGGCACTTGGCTTAGCATGGATCGTGATAGCGTGTAGTACTGGTTACGGGGGTAAGAATAATTTATTTCATAAAAAAGAAAATCATTAAACGATTAAATCGATCGTTGCTATTATTAATCCTTAAACAAAGATTAAATAAAGATTACATTTTCAGGATATGTAAATAAAATATTATCGTGGCCACTTTGTATCCGTTCAGCAGAGTGACTTATTGCGCTTACTTAGTCCATCCGCTTGTGATTCGTCTGACCGCTATGAATTTAGATTCACCGTTTCATTTAGGGAAGGATATAGTGGTGAGTTTAAATGTCGAGGAAAGGACGAATAGATACAGAGTATAAAACGCCATTTTTTTCAGGGCATAACATTCCTGGGACAATTAGTGCTATCTTACTTGTTCTCCTTCATCGTATCAGTCACCTTCGAAGCACCGGTGGTCAGTATGCTAAAGATTCTCTCGCCGAAAAAACGAAGGCGTATATAATATAGAGAGACTAAAGCATATATTTAACGCACACACCGCCTCGTACGGTTATTTATACAAATGTATTTACACATATTATGTATGAGTTTTGTAAAGATCTGTGAAACGATGACAAAAAATAATTGTAAACGTTATTACATATACACATTGTATTAACACTTGTTTCATCTTGTTTCAAACTATGTTAAAGTGTGAATTTTTCTGTGTATCGCTAAATGTAAAATAAATTATTTTTCTTTGTATATATATGATAAATATATGTAAATTCTGATATGAGTTTCTCTCATTATGTGAGAAAAAGAATAAATGCATACACACTTTAATAAGTAAAATCGGCTTTGTAATAAATGCAAGAGCTTGATTTTTCAAATCATAATCAATGTTTTGAAAAATATAAATAGGAATAAATAGGCCGCATATTATAGAAGTTGTTTACATTATGTATTATGTTACAATAATGTATCTATAAAGATATAACATATATTTTTAATATTAACATATATCTTTAATATTAACATATATCTTTAATATTTATCAAGTAATAATGCAAAGATTTGCTCCCTTTCCTCCTCTTTACAAAGCTCCTTCTACCGCGACTTCTGTATTGATATCGACAAAGTACGGGCCTTCATTAACGAATTGCTTGAACTTCTGTATAGTCTCCGCATCGAATACATCTCGCTCCGCCTGAGACAAACGTTTCACAACTTCGTACTTAGCATCCTTGCACTCTTTGAACGATTCGATATTTCTATCTAATAGGAACTCCACCAGGCCCGGATGAGTAGAAATATACTCTTGTCCCCATACTTGAGAGGCGATCACCGCCAAAACCTCCAGACCGGCCTGTCTGATATCAGCAAACGGTTGTCTGCATATCCCTACAATCATACTCAATGGATCATCACATAAGGAATCGAACCACATCTTCGTCAGAGACAAGATTCTGTTGTCCTGTTCGTCTCTCTTGACCTCGAGTATAAGGACGAGATTGTTCAGGCCGCGAATTCGCAAAGCGGTCGGCATCCTCTGCACTATCTCGCCGATCTTCTTCAGAGCACCAGGCATCGCGTCCCCTAGAGCTTGCAATGCGTATTTGCCTTCGACGCTCACAGACACGAATCCCAGGGTGTCCAATGCGGAGCCAAGGATGTTCTGATCCCCGCTATCTATTACCTCGAATAGCGCGGAAATTATCATAGGATATTTGGAGAACAACTCATTGGGCCAATGACGCGCTACATTACCAAAGAACTTCATCAGACCGGGAATCAAAAGATTTGACAAAGGATTTTCATTGGCCTGCGCTATCTTTTGAACCAGCTTACTCAATACTTCCTGCTGCTCCAGGTAGCTGAGACCCTCCTCGAATATCGCCAATTGAGTCAATATTTCCAAGGCGTTTAATTGAAGCAGTATGTCTTCATTCTCCAGTACATTAATTAAACTGTTCAAGAAGCCTGATTGAGCAGATACTTCCAAAGCTTCTCTGGACGTCTTGGCAATGTCCACTATAACTTCGTAAACGCGAAAGCTAATAGTATCATTCTGCAATAATCTAGCAAATGTTCTCAGAAGTTCACCCTTATACAGAATGTGTAAGCCATTTGGATTCCTTCCAACTTTTTTCACTATATTCATCGCACATTCAGCGACTGTTAAATCATTGTCACTAATTCTATTTATTATTGAAATCAGAAGAGTTGTATCTGCGAGCAACTGGAATATCTTTTGTGGATGTGAAGCTGTGCGCATAAATTCATGTAGCACAAGCAACCTTACATTGGCATTTGGATTAGTTATCAAAGTAGATACTTCGACTAAATATCTTTGATAAATTTCCCCAGGTTCTAGCACGCTGAACAGAATAGTCAGAATGTCACATATTTGCTCTATAACTTCTCTGTAATAAAAAATAGTTGTTAAACTTTTTTGTTTTTAGCAATAAATTTTTGAAAGTATTATATCACATATAATTACTTACACAAGCAACATTCTATATTACATCTCATAAGAATAATAGTCATGTGAAGTAATAATTAAAAACTTTAATCTATTTAATCGTACCTACCTTCAGACAATCATTGTTTACATACAAATATTTTAAAACTCTATAAAATGATAGTTTTCAAATATCTTATTCTATTTGCATCATTTGCAAATATATAAATGTTCAAAAGAATAAATTATAATATTCAGAAAATATATCGAATTATCAAATTTTTTTAACGTTTATAATAAAAGATTCTCTCATGTCGTATTCATATTGGCGTGTTAAATTTTAAACGATCAGTTGATACACAGAAAAATCACTTGTCATCGTTACCTGTCACTGGAGGTTAATTGCGAATAAAGCGGTTCGTAATCCAAGCCCCGGGCGATCTGTTCGGCATCTCGGTTGTTCAAACTGCCGAATTTGATCTTGATGTCCGTTAAAACGTCCTTCTTTTCCTCGACATTGTTCAATTCGCACAGACGTAGAATCTTTGCTTGGTACCATTCCGTCATGGTCGGTTCATTGACGATTCTTTTCGCTTTTCTTCAACAACTTTCACTAGCACTGAAAACAACTCTGTCGACTGTCGCGTGAATAAGCGTAATGCGACTCGCTCTCTATTTTAGGTTACGGCCGCCTTCGAGAGAAGTGACGTTTACGCAAATCACCACGCGATACTGAAGCTCTGAATCGCGCGCGAATGAAAATTGGCGAACGCGATAGATCGAGATATCGAACGAGAAGTCGAACGAGAAATTGAACGACAACGTTCAAATCATTATTTATATTATAAAATATAAACTAAACATATTGCTCGTTAATTTACTAATTAAGATGTGAAGATAATAAATAAATAAATAGATACTAACAATATTTGAAAAAAATAAATACAGATTGTCAATTTTTTTCCTGTAGTCCTACAAATCAGCGATAAATTAATTTATGTAAAAAGATAAAAAATACATAATTAATCAAATAAAATATTTGCAGCCACGAATAGTATATTTATTAAATAAACTTTCAAGAAAATGTATAATAAGAAATATATATATGTATATAATTGAAATGCTGATAAAATTGTTGAATAGAAAACAAAAAATTGCAATTTTTAATTATAATTATATCGCAAATACAACATAATTAACCATGGACGCCGGCAGAATTATTTTTAGGGAGGTGCACCCAAAAGAGGATGGAAAAACAGTTTTTTTTCCAGTTTATAATTATATTATTGTTAACATCATTAAATGATACTTTTAAATGAAAATTTTAGAATCTTAAATTAAAAATGACATGAATATTTATAATTATCAATAAATTTTACATTATATATAATTTTATATATTATATACATAATTATAGATTTTATATATTGACAAAAATATATTTAGATATCATAAAGAAAATGTCGCAGATTTTTTAAATCTAGATACCAGCTTCGTTTTCTTTTACATTAAATTGATATATTGCGTTAGTTCAGTTTTTTCTTTTTTTTTTTTACTAGATCATTATATATATACATATAATTAAATAATGATTAATTGCAATAAATATACGTTCCATCTGTCCCACTTCATTGTTATTATTTTGTCTGAATTTTGTTTCTTATCTTCGATGTTTAAAGTATTGTTATCATCATCCAAAAAGAAATCCATCATTAACTTGTCCTTGATTGCTAAAAAAAAAAAAATTACAAATGTTGATTACAAAAACAATTATTAGCTTATAATACTTAACATGTTAAAATACTTTCTACATGTTTTTATAATATTTTATATGTATGCAGAAAACGATTTGAATAACAAAATACAAAATAATATAAAATCTTCATAAATTATTATTTATAATCATGTCTTAATTTTTGTGTTATTTTTAAAATGGAAAAAAATGATACCTCTGGATTACATGCATAGTTTGTAAAATCAGTAATGCCCTCGTTTCTTAATATGTTTTCGTCGATCAGAAACTCGCCAGTAGTAGATTTGCTATTTTTACAAAGCAAGGCATAAACAGCTGCCATATAATTTCTGATTTTCGGCAAGCATTACTTGAATCTAAACCTGTCAACATGTCCATTGCAGCAGTATATATAGCTAAAAATAAGATAATACAAATAAATTTTATATAATAAATTGTCTAATATATGTAACGCATGCAGTCTTAGAATTATAAATTGTCGATTCAAAGTCAATTAAATAACAATTGTTTCAAAAACGAAGATTTTCATTATCTTTTTTTTTTAATACAGAGTCGACAGTATTTTCTACATTTGAAACAATATGTTGATAATATTTGTCTAACACACTATAAATACTATAATTATTTTCTTGTTAGTCATGCCTAATAAAAGTACAGTATCAACATACCTGTTTTTGGCCAAACAGCATTAAGTGCAATGCCATCAGGTTTTCATTCCTCCGCCAATGGTGTGGCAGCTTTGAAAGGTATTATTTTGATTCTCTGGTTGTAGCAGATGATAAAACTTCTTTATGTCCACTGTAATAATTTTTGTAATCGAATTTAGATTCGTAATCTCGTTCTTTGAAACCATCTTCTCAACGTCGCACTTCAGCATGCGACTGCTCCTCATCATCGTCGTTTGCTGTTGCTTCTTCAATTTTAACATATTATTTTTATTTTAAACATAAAAAAGCAAAATATAAAAAAAAGTTAACCTAAACTAAAAAATATAAAATGCTTACCGTTCGGAAAAAATAACCCACAAAACTGCACATTTGATGCGTTACAAGATTGTAACGATATAATTTATCACAAACATTATCACAATATAAAACGCAAAGATTAATAATAATAAAACAAAAATTTCAAGAATTTTCGCAAAATACTCCACTAATAAACTAATAATAGAACGTTCGAAAGCGAGAGATCCTTCGGGATCAGCTGATCGCGGAGGAAACAGCTGATCGTGGTAGCGTAATATAGCGCTTGTGTTTGCATTTTTTCCAGCATCGATTCAGGGTCTCAAAATGTACAAAATGATATCCAGGATGTTCGTCCGGGAGAGTAAAACCGCGTTGGAGCCTTTGAAACGCATCCCGATACAACGAGGACTTGTCAAAGCGGTGAAGAGCGCGGACGAGCCCGGCAAAGTGGCTAACATGAAAAAATACTGGTTCGGCAGGTACATGAATTACATCAAGAACTACGAGAGCACGCTCGAGCAGAGATTCCCACGTACGATGCAGGTGTACCGCGTGTTCAGCGTCGGCAGCAAAGACGTGTACGCGGACCTGAAGAAATTCGTATCCGCGATCAAGAAACAGGGATTGAACGGCACCGATAACTTAACGCGAGAGGAGCTGCAGCTGATGCACACGATGCCGAAAGATCTGCGAAAATTGTCGCCGTTGTTTCTACTGTCGGCTGTCCCGTTTACGAATTACATTATTTTTCCTCTGGCCATTTACTTTCCACGCTACCTGTTGACGTCACACTATTGGACTCTGCAGCAGAAATTAGACTTTATGCTCTCCGATCACAAAAGAAGACTCAAGCACAATAGGTTGCTGTTTAGATGCATGCAAGCAGAGTTTAAGACAATCAAGGATCAAACGCTCAGGATAAAGTGGAGAGATGTTATAGCCTGTCTAGGAAGCGGTACGCATCCAACTACCAAAAATATTATAGTCTGTTCTGAGCTCTTCTCGGGTCCACCATATTCCCTCAATACTCTGAAGAGGAAACACATGGTAAATTCACAAGTTAAAATGCACTCGTTGCTTCTAAACTCTTCTCTGAAGGCTGTTTTAACATTTATGTTTCTTTTGTTTTTAGAAAGAGTTATTAGCAATACACGGCATGTCTTTGTGGAGACCTTTCAAAAGAAAAAGATTGATGGAAAGGGGTATGTTAATTTTGCGAATGGATCGTGCTATTATAAGAGAAGGAGGAGTAAAAGCAATGCCTAATGAAGCAATGCGATGGGTAGATACCTTTTGTTAACTTTATGTTCACAGAATACTGGAAAATATGTATATCTAGAATAAAAGAATATAATTTATTTTATTGCCTCAAATCAAAGAAGTCATATTGTTGTGTTATATATACTGATATTATTTTTATTTTTTATCTCTGGAAATTTACTTTTTATTCTAAGAATTTTATAACTTATAATTATTTCAATGAAAATCTTGTTTTAGTACTATATGCAAAAAAAAATATTAATTTATAATTAATTTATTTTTTAGGCTCTATCCTTTAGAGGTTTAAACCCTGCCAACATGTCTATAGAAAATATGAGAAGCTGGCTTGAGCAATGGTTAGAGGTCTCAGCATCTATTGACAAAAGTAATATATCTTTGTTATTGCATAATCCAATTTTGTTAGCTTATAACCATTCAACAAATTGGATCCTTATATATAATAATTAAAAAATAACAAAAAAGATGACTTCTTCGTTTTTGCGAGATCTCAGACAATTAATTTTAATAATATTAACTTTCACAAAAATTTATATTTTGAAATTTCTAGTCAATTTAGAATTGATATTTTGCTTAAAAATATTTTTCATATATTACTAAATTATTAGAGTTAATATATTGCTCTTTCATTTGTGAATACCGAAGTAAACATCGTTTTTTTAAATGCTTAATATTTCTATCGTCAATCAATATCTCTTAACAGATACATATATATATCTTTAAACTTTTCGTGCAATATATACAGAAAGCAATTGCAATGAATTATTCTGTATATATATTGTATAACAAAAATTTACTATATTTCTATCTATATTTATAAATTGTTACTTTATATATTAAAAAAATTGAACATATATATAAAAAATAAGAGTGTAAATTTACGCTTTTGTACTTCTTATACTGAAGAATGTAAATTTAGTATTTAGTTTGTTAACTATACAGTTAAATCTACTACTAGATATGTTTATGCAAAAAACTAAATTATTTATATTTATATATATTCTAATAATATATCCTTCTATTTATTCAAATATATTTTTTTGAAATTTGTAAATGTTCAACTTTTTTAAATCTCCTCCTATGTTGAATGTGTTACATTATTTTCCTACTTTATGTGTGTCCAGCAATTTAAAGAATTTATATATATGTATAATATATATAAATGCATATAATGAAAAAATTTTGTTATCAGGAAAGGAATTTTGTTTACTAAAGGTAATTTGTTGATAAAGAAATGTTTAAGATTAGTATAAATTGTATTTTTTATTATATTTATAATTTACACAATAATATTTATACGAACATATAATATTATATATATTTATATATAATATATATATATATATTTATATGTATATATAACTTATATATATAATTTATAATATATATTTTATATAATATATATCCGAAATAATTTTATAATGTTTGACGATATATCACAGCACATTTCAATATTCATATATTGATAGTATTGTTATATATAGAAAAGTTTTATTCATTTATAAAGCGCATTTATAAATAGAATGTATTCCATTAAATAAAAATAATAATAAATTCAATTTAGTTTTTAATTTTTCAATAATTGTATTGTGAAAAATCTTAGAATATAATAAAAAGGAAATCTCTAAATACTTTCATTTAAACCTTAGTTTAATTCAATAATCGCGGTAATAACGATCTAATTATTTAAAAAATTATTTATTCTAAAAATATGTATAAATATTAAGATAAATCAATAGGGATATAACTGCCTGTAGAAACCCGCTTTTTTTTATTATTATTAGACCGGCAAGTTGTCTTATCTGATATACATTCACCTTCCTCGACTAATGACTTTTCCATTTCCTTAATTTGAATTTGTTTTGTACAATCGGTAATTGAAGTTCTTTTCTTTTTCTCAAGATGTTCAGTTAAATCGTCATTTATTTCATAATATCTTAATCTGCTTTCCATATTGGACATCTCAGAATCATTCTTTGTTGTAAGCATGGTCTTTTTCACATTGTGCATTTTGCTCGAGTATTTAGTACTTTTTTCGGAATCAAGTAAATGCGATTTATGAGGATAAGGACAAGACTCACCTTTGCTGCAGTTTCCGGACTTGTTAAATTCTGGACAAAGATACTCGTGACGTCGTTGACACTGTAGGAGAACAAATCAGTATTCTATGCTTTACAAAATATTACTATAAGCTATTATGTCGTTCACATAAGGCATCTTTCTGTTATGATTAAAATATTATCTTCATCTTATAATCCCTAAATTTTTAATTTAAATATATTTTTTCTTCCTCTTATGTCAATTGTCTCAGACTCATATCTTCACGCCTGCAGGTCACGTATAAGAGTCAATATCGCCACATAAGAAAAAAAAATTTTATGTATTAGTACAACCATTTCGTATATTTCGATAATTGGAATCATCGTTTTGAATTGCCTCTACCATAAAAATCTATGAATCTTATGATGTAACTATCCACAGGCCGTGAATCGCGTGTTTGAGATTTCTAAGAGGAATTTGTTTATAATAAATTGTTATCTCTTAATTATGAGCATTTAAAAGAATAATAAACAAATGATGGACTAAAAGATAAGAATTAAATATGTTACCTTGGTTCCTTTAGCGCAATATCCTTGTAAAAAATCTATGCAGATTGAAGTATTTGAAGATACTTTAACATGAAGATAAGGACAGTCGTCTCTTGTGCAGCAGCCGTCGAGGAAGTACTTGCATGTAGGCATCTTTTCAGGTCCGACATCATGTGATAGAGAACATTTGTCTACAAAACACTTTCCTTGCAGAAATCTAGATATGGAAAAAATTACAAGTTTAATCTCCTTTTATTGTTTTTAATTTTCTAAAATTTTAATTTCCATTCAACAAGTAGTTTTAATATACAATAGAGTTTTAATGTAATATTAACTATTTATAATATATTAAATATTCGAGTTGCAAACATTAAGATGATTAATTATACATATATTAGACACTTAGATAATTATTTACTTTTTGCAGAGTGACACTTGTTTTTTATCATGTCGTTTGGGGCATTTTCCTTTTTCATGGTTTGGACAAGATCCGAATCGTTGAAAAATTAAACATGGCTGATTATTCTTGTGCATTTTATTTCGTAAAATTCGTATGCTTCTTTGTTTTGCTTTGTTGCTGCAAAAATTAATTTTAATAAAATTCTTAATTGTGAACTTCAAAAATTTATACAAAAAACAAGTTTCTTGTGTAAACTCAATTTTCCATTTTTTTTAGCCTTTCCTTATTTAAAATTAATTGTTTTTCTAAATTAAGTCTTTTTTTTCTATACTATTTTTTCATTAAGTTAATTGCTTATATTGTAAAATTATTGTAATAAAACATTATTTATTTTTATATACAATATGAAATAACTGTATTCAAGTTTGTTAAAAGATCATATTGAGAAAACAAAGCTAAAGTATGCAACAGTTTTATTTTGCAGTTCTCATTAGAATAGCAAACATTTTTAAAAAATTTAAAAGAGAAAATATTCTTGATTCAATGAGTTTAGAATAGACAAAATTGCTTAGTATAGTATTGATGAATGTATATCATTATACATACCTGATACTATTTTTGTAAGTGGCTTTCAATAATACGTTGAAGGTAAATTGTGTTTTACTACTGATGTTTGCTCCTAATGTACAATTTACAGTTTCTTTGCTGATTCGTTGTTTCTTGTCATAAATAAGTTTATCGTTTTTCCCATTAAATGATCGTTTTCCTGAAATTCCATAGAAACAAATTTAATGTATTTTTAAATAAATAATATTTACGAATAAAAAATTTACATACAATACACCTAATACAATAATAAAATGCTAAACAATATGATGCACATACGTTTTAATGAAGAATTCTTCCGTATTAATTTATTTTTAGAAGCTTTATACACAATACCACCGATAGTAACAAGTTTCTTTTCTGTGTCTTTTTCTCCTTCTCTATAATGTGAACACTTTTATAAAATTTTTTATTTTATAATTAATTAGATATAATGTAAGCAAATAATACATACATCTTTTTCTTTTTTGAAAGATCGGTTTTTTTAACTTTTAATGTAGTTCTGTCAATCTTATACTTGGTTACTTTAGAATTATTATTAGCTTTGTTGATACATAATTTTGATAAATTAGATTTACTTGTAGATTGTAATGCATTATTTGCTAATGAAATTCTCATTTGTAATCTTGTTTTATCAACTTTTTTTCCTATTAAGTCTGGAGATTTTGATAACTTGTATTGAGATAATAGAGAACTTTTTGACACAATTTTTGGAGAACGAAGTACTCTCACGAGCTTTCTACGTGACAAAATCACAAAACTAGAATTACCAGTCCTCTTTGTAGAAATCTTTTGATTGTCAGTATTTTTCACAGGCTTTAGTCTTGAACAAACTGGTCGCTCTGTTGTGACTAATTCTTTAGAAATTAATTCTTTAGAAATTGATTTAGATTCTGCCAATTTTTCTTTAGAGGAAGACAATTTCTTCAACAATGTTGGATTAACATATATAGCTCTTTTAATATCAGGTAACTTATTATTGTTACTTATGCTAGCTTTCGCTATATTCGCATTTGTTGTGTTTATATTATTTGGCTTATTTTGATTTAAACTAGCAATATTGTGCATTACTTTCGGATTAATATGTATTAAAGGTTTAGCATAAACATTTGGATTGATATGTACAGTTGGATTTTGCGCTTTAAAGTTTGGATTGACATGAACATTTATGGGAATTAATTGAGATTTTACACGTGCCCTTTCCAAGTCCTTGAATAAATGAGGATTTGAACGCGAAGCATGAACTGTGTTCTTTACATCTGCATAAACTTTAGACTCTACAAACGACTTGAAAATTCGATTTGAATTAATTTTTTGATTGCATTGTGAATTTAGAAGTACATTCTTCTGTCCATATTCCTCTTTTTGATCTACAATTATATAAAACGATTAATTTCTTATAAATTAAGGCTGAAAAAATTATCTTAACAATATAACTTAATAAAATATGTAAAAACATAGTGCCATATGCTTTATTAAGAGTCAAAAATTCAAGAAAGATATTTTGAACAGATTAATTCTAATCGAGAAAATTATAAGCTCACCTTTTAAAAAAGGAATTTCACTTAACCTCTTGATTTCTGTAATTGCAGATGATGGGACTCCCATCTTAAAAATTTCGAGAACTTACGAAGAACGTTTCTCGAAATTTCTTGAAACGTAATTACACTTTTTCGAATAGTTTTTTTTAACGAATCTTGACGCTATTTTGCAATAACGATCAAACTCAATGCCACATGTGGGTCATAAAGAGATGGGCTGTACTAAAGATGTTGTGACGTGTGAAGTGTTGCGCCTTGACAGGGACAGGACATGTAATGGTGACGAAATCACGTGATTTCCATAGGACACATCACAAACTTTATATAATTTCAGTTTTATTAATTATATATTATTTATTTTATCTCCGTTTAAATACTTTAAACATCTGAAGTTTGCAATAAATCGATGCGATCGATGCAACGATATTCATGCAATTAGAATTAGACGTCTGTTCATTCTACTTACACTTTTTTACTGTACTTTTTATTTATTTGTTGTTCCTTTTAAGCGCAGAAATTAAGAAGCAAAGATAAAAAGCCTATTTAATGCTTACGAAATTTCTGTATTTAAAACTAAATAAATATATATGTTTAAGCGATGAAGAGAAGAAATAGAAATAGAAATATACAAATAACACCATCAGATTTATTACATTCGTCATATGACAAGTACATGATTTTGTCGAATTATGATTGGCTGCTATCGCAAGAATGGCACTCTAGGAATTCTATCCGACTTTTAACCCACCGTAGAGCAAAGAAATTGAATATTTTTAAATTATTTTATATTATATAATTTAGGAATCGTTTGGGGAAGTTTAGGAAAACTATTTTATTAACATTTAGCAAATAATAGTTTTTTGTTAATATAATAACATTTTATCAACCGCGCGTCAAGTTATTATATATAGTATATCTTGTTAACTATATGCACTTCTTGATCATTCTAATTCTTTTAATTTTTTATGCAGAATATTATGAGGAATCGATTTAAAAAATATATTAAAATATACAGTGGTTCTATTTAAAAAATTCGAGATTATTTTACCTGTCGTTGGCAATATCATTCAAAGTCCAAACAAAATCAGTAAAGAAGTGTTTTCAAACTACAATTTCTACCTGAAGCATTTTTTTATAAAACTTATATTTTTCAAGATATTCCGGAGCCTCGAACTTTGCGCATGATGAATTGAACACTCTAAACGTACCCAGCAAACACAGTATATAAATGTCACAGATTAATAGACAGATCGCCAAAGGTCTGGATGAAGGAGAGACCAGCATTTCTCACTGATTTCAGCGCCATATCGTGGTAGTGGTCAATGCAGTAACTATTAATACGTTCCTAAGATGAGCGTCTCATGCTCATGAACTCGTCCGGCGGCATGTACGAGATTTATCTTTTCGTAGCGTTCGCGTATTTCGGAAAGGACAGAATTTTATGATGTTATAAATAAATAAATAAATAAATAAATAAAATATTAACCTGACCTATTATAATTATTTTTTAATAAATGTTTCATTATTATTATCATCTAAGTCTAAGTCGTTTAATTAATTTTTAGTTTTTTAATAATTAATTTAATTTATTCTAATCATTTTAATATGTGAAAAATACTAATACGTATACGTTTTATAATGAATTAATATATTTCGAGAGTCGAATTATATATTTTTAATAATATAAAAGTGTTCAAAAATTATATTTGACTTTTAATTTTAATTATTTTAGCAAAGAGTTCCGAAATCTCTTACACACATAATAGGGATTTTGTTCATCCATATAATTCGCAATTAAGTATATATGTTAATTATTAATTTTAATAAAATACAAAATTAAAATTAAAGGTCAAATATAATTTTTGAACATAAATATATTTAATTCGTTATAAAACGTATACCCGTGATAGTATTTTTCTCGTACAAAAATAATTAGAACAAATTAAATTACTCATAAAAAAATAAAAAAATAATTAAATAATTTATATTATATATGATAATAATAAAACATTTTATAAAAAAAACAGATTCAATAAATATAAGTATATATATAACATGTACTTATATTTATTGAATCTGTTTTTTAATAAAATGTTTTATAAGCTTAGAAAACTTGACTTTGACGTAACTAGCAAATTTTATTTAATTATTTCACGACGGTTTGACGTAATAAAATGTTTTATTATTATTATATAAAATATAAGTTTAAATTCTTTAAGGGGTTATACCTACCTGCAAGGTCTGAAAAACACGTATTTTTGGGAATTTTTTTTTTAAATATTTGAAGTGCTTTGGAAAGGAACATTTATGTTTTCAAATATATATATTTCAAAGATTATTTAGTATTTTTTTTATTGCAAAATGTTGATAAATAAAAAAGATATGCTTAATCTTCCAGAAGCAGTTTTTTGAAAAGCGTTTTGCGGTGACCACTCTAACTTTGAACTGGTTTACCAGAAATCAAAAAACCCGAGAAATTTAGTTAATATATAAGATTATCTAGTGCCCGATCGTTCATTTTTTTGAAAAATTAATTTGCGACAAAATGGCGGCTGTTCAAATTTGAAGGTATGATTTTGCTACCAAAAATTCGCTCGTTTTTTATTATTAAAAAAAAATACGCAACGAAAAAACAAAAGCCACGATCGGGCACTAGATTTTTTAGTATTAAAGATGTCTACCAAATTTTATTTCAATCGATGCAGCGGTTTTCGAGATATTTTGGTCACCGATTTTAAAAATGCTGTTTTGAGAAAAACGCATTTGAAGTTTCAAATTAAGTTCACAACCAAATAATATATTTATATATATATTTATATATATTTATATATATTATTTATTTATATATATTTTGGCTTTGTATAGAGACCGCTTTTGTCCGCGTCGCAGCTGCCGTTCGATACCTGAGACCCGTTTCTGTACCCTGCTTCTAAACAGCAGGATACGTTCACACCAGTATACCTTTAAACTCACATAACTTCGTTAATTTTTGTCGAATCGACTTGAAATTTGCAGGGAATATTTTTGAAAGTATGTACTTTAAGAAAATATCAAAATCCAAAAATCGATTTTTTTGAAGTTTGCAGGTAGGTATAACCCCTTAATTAATTTTTAATCTTTTATGATTAATTTAATTTACTCTAATTATTTTTGTACGAGAAAAATACTATCATGGGTATACGTTTTATAATTAATTTAATATATTTGTGTTTAAAAATTATATTTGACCTTTAATTTTAATTTTTATTTTATTAAAATTAATAATTAACATATATACTTAATTGCGAATTATATGGATGAAAAAAATCCCCATTATGTGTGTAAGAGATTTCGGAACTCTTTGCTATAAAATAATTAAAATTAAAAGTCAAATATAATTTTTGAACACTTTTATATTATTAAGAATATATAATTCGGTTCCCGAAATATATTAATTCATTATAAAACGTATACGTGATATTATTTTTCTCATATAAAAATGACTAGAATAAATTAAATTAATTATTAAAAAACTAAAAAGTAATTAAACGACTTAGACTTAGATGATAATAATAATGAAATATTTTATTAAAAAAAGATTCAATAACTAGTAGGTCAGGTTATAATTTTTTATTTATTTATTTATAACATTATGAGCTATTAAGCTCATCATCTCGTTCGCTCTCTGTCTTGCTTTCATTCGGCAAGTCACAAACGATATATGATACTCGTATGTTCCTACTTCAACTCTCGAGAATCTGAAACAAACGAAACTCGTGTCCAATATACAGGGTGTCCGGTAACTAACAGACCAATGATTACAAATGGATTCTTTGGTCAATTTGGGAACGATTTTTCCTCAGCGAAAATGTCGAAAAAGGTCATCATTTTTTACAACTTTCCAATCTTTGTCATTATGTATCTTTATAACTAAGCCTTAAATTAAAATTTTATTATAGTAAACTCTACCTGAAATTAACTGAAGAATGTAATTATGTTAGACTTTTAACTCCAAAACGTTTAGTTTTCAAAAAACCTATTTTTTTCAATCGCTTATAACTCGAAAATTATTGACTTCTCAACATTTTTGCTAAGGAAAAATCGTCTCCAAATTGGCCAGAGAATCCGCCCTTAATCATTGGTCCGTTAGTTACCGGACACCTTGTATATATTATATAAAAGTGTATAGCACGTCAGAAGCTTGTGAGCTTACAGCGATAAGTAAAAACAATTGCGTATTTATTTCATTGCGTTTATCTGTTTAAACGCGCGCTTTAATTTTTCCAACGTTTTTGCCTGTTTATATTTTAAAGGTCCTCTCTTCTAAAAATCTTGTTTTAAAGATCCTCTCCGCGAGCAAAATTCGAAAACATAAATTATTTAATATTTTTACTTTATTATTTGTAAATCCTCGGTAATTTCAAAATTTTTCTATTTGAAAATTATTAATTTTCTATTGCCAATTAATTTTATCACAGACTTTACTCTTACTCCCATTGCACTTTCGTTTGCGGTTTTCAGTATACGATTTTTTATCGTAGTTACTGCAAATTATTATTGTGAATTATACTTGTGCAGTGATTTGAAGAATTTACAATTTCGTTGAAATTGTTGATTTTTCAAAAAAATTACGAGATTCGCGGAAATTGCGTGCTTTCTTGGCATTTTCCGTTCGCGGCAGGCGGTTTATTTTTGATTGTTGCAAGTGTTTTTTTTTTTTTTTATTAAAATAGATAATAATAATGTGAAATAAATCACGATATTTGACAGATGTGCATATATATAGAAATTGTAATAATAATAATATTATATCATAAAATTGTAAATTGTTTCAATTTTTTATAGACTGCGATAAAAGATTTTACATTTGGATAAGAAACTGCGGTAAGTAAAAATATAAAATTCTTGAAAACGTACCAAAAATATTTGATAACGTAAAAAGGTGAACTTTGAAAAATAAGGAACTTAAAAATTGCACTAATAAATGGGCTATATGTGAGCCGTGCGCGGATGTAAGGTGTGTTATATCGAAATTTAATTAATAGAATTGAGAATTAATCCCAATTTTAAGTCTTACAAATGTCCAAGCTAATTTTTTGTACCTCGTGTACATTTTTGAAAGTTATATCGAAAAATTAAATTTCAATATGCGTCTTACATCTCACATTTCGCATACGGCTCACATATAGCCTATTTATCTCTTATACTTTATTTCAACTCTTATAGAAATTTATTACTAGTAACGCCAATTTATCACTTATTTCGAGTAATTAATCACTTTTATTTCGAATACTTAAATTACTGTATATTATAGTATTTTAAATACTCAAAATAAGTGATTAATTGGCGTAGTGATAAATTTCTACAAGAGAATAAGGAGCCTTTAAATTCTTAATGTAAAAAATTTCAAGTAATTTTCTTTAATAAAATTTAATTAAAAAATTTAATTAAAAAATTTTTGAACACTGTGTTATATCACATTTAAAATTGTGATTATTTCAATAAAAAAACATTTTATGTGTAAAAAATATATTTTTTATATTTAATAAATTTTATATATATATATGCATATATGTAAAATATTCTCTCTCTCTCTCTCTCTCTCTCTCACACACACACACACACACACACACACACACAACGGGGGCCAAATCTCTCAAATTGGTCTCATGATCAATTAGCCTGGATTCGCACCAGGGGCAAAGTCTGTTGGTAATGTCAAACGAATTTAGCCTGGACTTGCACCAGGGGCAAAGTCTTTTGGTCGAGTCTACGAAATTTAGCACGGACTCGAACCAGGGGCAAAGTCTTTTGGTTCAAGTCTACGAAATTTAGCACGGACTCGAACCAGGGGCAAAGTGTGTCGGTAAGGGGCAAAGTCTATCGCACGAAGATGGCGGTCTCTTCTTTAGGCAGGCCTTTGGCGATCTGTCTATTAATCTGTGTAAATGTTATATACTTAAGCATGTTACACATGTAACGTATATGTTAGTTGTAATTTCCCACTCATAGATGTAACATTTTTAATATTACATATATTACATTGTAGTTATATTGTCATTATATCCCAAGATAGCACTGACTTATCAATACACCAATGTGCTATTTGGTATATAATTACAATATATAACTACAATGTAATATATGTTATATTAAAATGTTACATCTATGAGTGGGAAATTACAACTAACATGGATGTTACATGTAACGTACACGTTATATTACCTGTTATATTCCGTTTTATTATAGCAATGTAACAATTATATATCGGTGTTTGCTGGGGAGTATATTGGGACACCCGGTATCTAAACCTTTAAACAATTTTTTTCTAAAATAATTTTAATTAAGTCTTACACTACTTTGCCTTGCAAAAATACCATAATTATTATATCCTCTATATATTTTAAAAACTATATTTATATACTTAATCAGATCTTATTAATGTTTATTTGAATTTATTTTAGATTTTATTATTATTCACTATTATTATTATCATACAATTATACTTTATATTTATTACATAATATTGTATATAATCCTCTATATTTAAATGATTATTACAAAACGCTACATTATTATGAACATGTATATTATGCTCTTATTTTATTGTTTTTTCTTTCAGCCAGAGATAATAAAAAAAACGGGTTATCCTACGGAAACTCACGTTGTAACAACAGAAGATGGCTATCTTTTAACGTTACATACAAGTATTCCAGGTGGTAATGGCTCTCTACCTGTATTACTGGTACACGGTGCTTTTAGCGACGACTATATGTTTGGATCACTCTTGGCAAAGGCAAAGCACTTGGTACGACTTCTTATTCAATCACCGAAAAATTTGCTAACAATGTCGATCATATCACATCGTTAATTTTACTTTTAATCAAAAAATATTGAATTAAAACATCAAGAAACAAAAACATTGTAAACATTGCCTATTTAAACCTATTTAATTAGGATAGGTATATTTTTAATCCATCTTAAATTTTGAAATTATTTTAAAATTAAAAGTAAATTTGTTACATGATAGGTATATATATTAAACATATACATATATTTTATATACAAGATTGGGAAAGTTACTTTGTAAAAGTAACTAGTTACAGTTACAGTTATTTCATTGAAAAAGTAACTATAGTTACAATTACAAGTTACCGATTTTTAAAAATAACTCGTTACAGTTACAGTTACTCAAAAAGTAACGAGTCGTTACTTTTCAGTTACTTTTCAAAAATAATATTATACATGATTTTAAATATAAGAAGCTTACATTTTATGCACAATCACAGTCATGTATTTAGAAAAATTCTTGAATGTAATAATTGATCGATTTGCTTGCAACTTTGCGATTACCATTAATGCATGAACTCATCACGTATAAGCAAAGGATTTTAGCCTGAACTCGCACTAGAAGCAAAATTTTTTGGTAAAATTAAAGAATTTTATTAGCCTGGACTCAAACCAGGGGCAAAGTGTGTCGGTAAGCGGCAAAAATGACGATCTTTTCTTTAGACAGGCCTTTGGCGATCTGTCTATTAATCTGTGCATGAAGTAATTGTTAAAATAGTTACTACCCAGCAAACACCGATATATATAATTGTTACATTGCTATATAATAAAACGGAATATAACAGGTAATATAACGTGTACGTAACATGTAACATCCATGTTAGTTGTAATTTCCAACTCATATAGATGTAACATTTTAATATAACATATATTACATTATATAGTTATATTGTAATTATATACCAAATAGCACATTGATGTATTGATAAGTCAGTGCTATCTTAGGATATAATGACAATATAACTACAATGTAATATATGTAATATTAAAAATGTTACATCTATGAGTGGAAAATTACAACTAACATATACGTTACATGCAACATGCTTAAGTATATAACATTTATATACTGTGTTTGCTGGGTAGTTACTAAAAAAATGTAACTAATTTACAGTTACAGTTACAGATGGAGAAAAGTAACGAAGTTAAGTTATAGTTACCGAAAAGAAGTAACTGTAACTGTAACTTCGTTACAAGTAACTCTTTATTTCTTAACCTTGTTTATATATTAATTCATTAAAATTGTATTAAATGAATTATAATATCAGATTACGGTCTTAATTTTGTTATAAAAATTTTTCTACGGAAAAATATAACATCTGAGAAAAAAAATACAAATAAAAGATTGCAAATGTGTTTTCATTTTGTGTTCTAGCTTATCTATTAGCGGATCAGGGATACGATGTTTGGTTGGCTAATTTGCGTGGTACTACTCATTCGAGAGATCACATTTCTTTATCAACATCAGAATTAAAATATTGGAATTTTAGGTATACTTAAAAAATATAAAAAACAATTTCTTGAAAATAGATAGTTTTTCCTTTGGTGAAGTTTTCGTAAATGCAAATTTATTAGATATTATTGCAACGGAATAATATATTAAAAATTATCTTATTTCGCAAATGCATCTCATATTCATTTTTCTATATACTAATACAGTACTTTCTTGTTTTTTTACTTTTCTATGTAAATAATTCTTCATGAATGTAATAAAATATCTGCAAACTACTTCAAGTAATAATCCCTGTTAAGGATTGTTACAATGACTTCTCCAAAGATATTTTATTTAAGTTAAAAGTGTGCTTGGTGCGGAAAAATCGTTATGTATGAAATATTTTTTTATCATTTCTGCAAAAATTATGAAAATGAAAAAATAAGAGAAAAGTAACGTAATTATAAATAATGTAAAAACAATTATAAAAAATTAAAATATTAAAAATTTTTAATTAAAAAAAAATTTTTTAATTAAAAAAATAAAAAATAAAAATAATAAATAATAAAAATACAAAAAGAAATAGTGGGAATAGATTCTCGCCACCTTCTCGTCGGTTTTTTTTTTGGATTCGGCAAAGAGCGAGAAAAAATGGATTTTTCAGACCATAAATTGGTTGCGCGAACCTTAAAAGTGCACCATTGTCGATATAAAAAAAATACGTGTCTATTATTTTTTACTACTGTACAAGCATACCGAGTTTTATCAAAATCGGCGAGTAACAGAAAGGTAACTTTACTTGTTAGTGAAAATTCAAACTCTATTTAGCCGAGACTCGAATCTTGTTTAGCTGAGTGTCGATAAAGTAGGATTTGAATTTTTCCTATAAGCGAGATTTGACGTGATTCGAGTTTTCCCTCCCTAAAGCAGATAAGTTTTTGGTTTTAGGTTGTACGCAAAAGAGTTTTGCAAAAAATATTAGATTTGTTTTGTGTGTAAGGGCGTTTTGTGTGCAAGAATATCTTTTGGTTTCAAGAATTTATCATTGTAATTCTCGTTTATTGATAATTTAAACAATTTCTAACAATTTTATCATATTTGTACCTTATCTTTCTTACATATCTTTGTTGTACTTACATGATCTTTTGAAGAAATAATGTTTTTACTCCTGTGTAATATTATTGTGCCACTAAATAACGTAAATTTAAAATAGATGAATGTAATATTAATACTACATAAAATTTAGCTTTGTTTTATACAGTATTTTGGGAAGCTCTGTTGATTCTGAATTAAATTATGGAAAAAATATATGCATAAAAGAAGGATATTAATCCTGTCGTAATTTTAAGATAACTGAAGAGAAAAGTAAACCATTTTACATTAGTTACATTGTTGCTATTACAAACTATATTAGGAAAATCTATTTTTCTACATCCAAACAATGATGTTGAGATTTAACATATTAAGACGAAAGAAGAAATTGTTTTATTTTTAACTTTAACTTAAATTGCATGTATGTCGCATCAATATTTAGTTACAATATTACATTTATAACAGGTATAATGGAAAATGTAAAAGGACATTTTATGTAAACCAGAAGGCAATGGTCAACAAGCTACATAACATGCAGTGGCTGAAACATGCATCTCATTCATTGAATCCGTATGTTTAATCTTTACTTAAGATATAATTTTTGTATTGACATTGCTCTTGTGTGATATAAATTTTATTATTCATAATTTATCAATAAGTCAATCTATGTATATATTTTTCTCCTTAGTAATACTATAGTTGTATAATGTATTAATAAAAAAATCTTATAATTATTGATTGTGCAATATATTACTTATATATAAAATATACAATTAATATGTAATTAATATATAAGTTATATTATTAATTTAAAGTATATAAAACTATCACAAGTTATACTTAAGTTTATAATATGCATCAATACTCTGGTGCATATGTGCAGGATCTTATATATAATAAATTAAGAAAAATAAAAATCTTTAAAGACAGAGATTATAATAAATCTTTTCAATAATGAAAAAAGGATGTGGAATCTTGCTCTTTTCGATTAGTTGGAATTTTTAAATTTTAAGATACATTAATACAATAAAAATATAAAATGTAGGATCTACAGTTCTGGGAACTAGTTCATACACAATTTATATTAATATTTGTCTTATATAAATTTTGAACTAGCTGGGTATATATAAATGGATGGATTAAAAAAAGATATATTTCTTTTTGTAATATTGCTTCTGCTTATACTTGAAAATTATTTTTATCGATTTGTTATTTCAGTGGAAAGGTGAAGCGTATACAAAAGCTTGATGCGAATAATAAATTAGAAATTAAAGATTTATTAACAGAAAATATTGAGACATTATACTCAATTGAAGACTCTCACAAATATCATTCCATGAAGCCATACAAAAGAGATTTATCTATTGATGTAATGCAAGATGATGCATATTTACCTAACCCGTTTCCAAATTCCAAAATGTTGATTAATCGTAAGGATAAAGGAGAAAAAAAAATATGTTAATGATTGCAAAAAGCATTGCAACAGCAAAATTGGATGCTCAATGTTATTCAAATAAGATGAAAAAAGATCAATCAAATAAAAAAATATCACAAAATAATGCTGAAGATATTATGCAGTAAGTGTAAAGAAAACTTAATTTTTTTTATATAATTATATATTTTTTTATTAATATTAAAATACTCAGTTTTCAGTAATCATACCTTAATACTTTTTTGCACAGAATAATGAGACCAATCAACTGCCATAAAGAAAACAGATAATTGTTTTAAAAAAATATGTAATATTCAACATTCAGCTGCATACTTGTTTTATAAGCAACTATGTGTTTTTGTACACCACTTGATTGGTCTCATTATTCCGTACATAAAAGTGTTAAGGTATAATTACTGAAAACTGAGTATTTTATAAGATATATATATATATTTTACATTTTATGTCAAAAAATTGTTAACTTCAAACCTTTATAACTTAAAAAGTACTCCATAAAAATAATAATTTATTATAGGGCTTTAGAAAGCTGTTAAGATAATCTATAAAAATATGCAATAAAAAATAGGTATTTCTATTTAAAAAATTAAAATTGACCTTTACGTGACTTTTACATGATTTTACGAGATCAAATCAATGGCACTATCTACATCATTATATCTCCCTTCGAGTCAAACAACTTTTATTTGAAACATTTTTCCGTATCGTCCATATTTTTTTAGATATTTGCGTGGAAAAATTAAAATAAAACACTTTGTATATCACAATGACAAGTCATCAGTGCAGCAGTAATAAATAGCGTGTAAGATGCAGTTGTAGACAATTATTCATTTCGTTCTCGTGTTTTCTGCCTTTTTTCGAAAATATATGTCCCGATATCTTAGAAGAACTTTCTTGAGTTATCCATTTTCTTTCACTGTTCATTTATTGAATTCACTTATGGATGCGATGAGATTGATCGGAATCATTTGTTTGCTATCGTTTTACGGTCGTCTTAATAAGATGCGACCCTCTAGTCAAACGAACCCGTAGAAAAAATAATTCAGTTTGATTGAATAAAAAACGAGCTTAATCCCGATGTATTTTCCAGCACTGTAAGTATTACCTTTTTTTAACTCATTAAAATTAAAATTTTCATTATTCTTATTAGCTGAATTTCTTCAATACTGTCAAATAATGATTGAAGAACGTGATCTAATATGGCAATTGCTGCTTCTTCTTTTTTTTCTCTTTTTTAAATTCAAAAACTAAATTTCATAAAGTTTTATACATATATTTATACATACATATATTTATACATATTATTAATTACATATAATATTTATTTTTTTAACTTGCTTTAAAGAACGATCATAACCCAGACAGCACACAATATTTATGATAAAGATTCATAAATATTTATGAATATATATTTTTTTCAAATATATTATATTTTGAAAATGTTTTATAAAACCTTTATTTAACATATTATAAAAACATAGATTAAATATTTCATATAATATTTATGGTATGTAAAGATAAATATTTATAGTAATTATTTTATAAATATTCTTTAATTAAATAATTGTTAGTTCTTTCATTTACCGCTATGTGACGTATCTCGTATTTGATTTTCGTCGTGAGAATTATATAAGGCTGGCAAAAACGGAAATTAATCAAATTAAAAATGCCATAAAATTATTTCTATTTTTGAGCTACATTCTGCAGAATGTCTTTTAATAGAATGTCTTGTAACAAATAAATTTACGTATATCTCGACGTGTGCGTAAATTTATTTGTTGAACTATTCTGTTGCCTAAGTAGTATATTCAGTGTATATTATAATTTTATATTCTATTTTAAAATAAATGTCTAATAAGTTATTTAAAATACTGCTTTGAAATACTTTAAAATATTTTACTCGGTATATTATATATATACTATATTATGAGTCATTCCACGTCAAATCGGCCACCCCCTGCTTAAAATTGTATTGAAATCTAACTTGAGATAACAAAATTTAATTTAAAGCTTCTAGATTTTGATACTGTCCGATGATTTTGAAAAAAAAATTAAAGTAGAGATTTTATATTCAATAATAAGTACTATCTTATAAAAACTCTACTATTTCTTGCAGATAAAGTGCAAAAGTCAAGTTTTCAATATACTTTTACCTGCTGAATCAGAATCTGAAAAACACATGTAAAAATATTAAAATAATATAAATAAATAATTAAATAAATTATATGTATATCTTGCAAATAAATACTTAGTTATTATTGATTAGGTGTCCACTTTTTTGTGAAAGATGAAAATATTTTTATTATTTCTAACAATGTTTTCTTTTCTTCTTAATACTGAATTTCTGTGCCATAACATTAATAGTTATTGTAATCTGCATAATTATACCATTTGTCAATATCAGTTTTTAATGATATGATGTTTAACATTATTGCATTGTAAAAGATTGATATCATCTCGTGCAACT